TGTAGTGCAAAGAATCGTCCCATCACTGCAAAGATTTGTGCTTGCACAACAGTACTTTAACCCCACCCCGCAACACATCCTAAATCTGTTCTGGGTTTCTCTGAACCATCCATAATTATTTTGGTGGCGGCACTGAGGAGAAAGAGGGAAGCCCCAATTCACAAGCATAGATCCTTGCATTGATGGGACAGTTACTTAGCACTAAATTAGATACAGGCTAGTGGTTTCTGTATTATTAGCCAACTTGGACGTGGCTGGATGGAAATATGGGTCACAAATAAGCTTAGATGATGAGATGGATTGGCAGATAGAATTTCGAAGACTAGAAAGTGCTTGGCAGACCAGTCCTGGGCATGTTTACTCAGAAGTCAATCCCACCAGATTTAATGGGTGTTACACAAATGTGCCTATATTGCAACCTAAAAGTGGGTTTCCATCCTATCACTTTTGACCCATCATTGCCTCCAATCTAACAGGTATTGCAGATCTCTGAAGCAATGCCAAAGAACCGGACATCGTATTTGCCAGAGTCAAAGGTGGGTTTAGTGCACTCACAAGCAGCAATCGCCCTTCTAATTCTGGGAGGGGAACCCTCCCCTACTGTTTATCTCTGTCTATTGGAGGCTGTATAGATACGAGCCCATTTTCCTCATCTGCAGGTTTTCCAGCACTCTCCCTCAAGTTGAAATTTATTTATTTATATTTTTAAACATTTATGTACTGTCTTCCATACCAACCTGTCCTTGAAAAGCAGATGTGGGTGGCGCTGTGGGTTAAACCACAGAGCCTAGGACTTGCCGATCAGAAGGTCGGCGGTTCGAATCCCCGTGACGGGGTGATCTCCCGTTGCTCAGTCCCTGCTCCTGCCAACCTAGCAGTTCGAAAGCACATCAAAGTACAAGTAGATAAATAGGTACCGCTCCAGCGGGAAGGTAAACGGCATTTCTGTGCGCTGCTCTGGTTCGCCAGAAGCGGCTTAGTCATGCTGGCCACATGACCCGGAAGCTGTACGCCGGCTCCCTCTGCCAATAAAGCTAGATGAGCGCCACAACCCCAGAGTTGGCCACGACTGGACCTAATGGTCAGGGGTCCTTTACCTTTTTACATGCTGCAAATGTACATTAGCTGATCATTGCAAACAATAAATTAATTACTTATTCTTGCCGTAGGGCCAAAATAGAAAAGGTGTTGAAACGGGGTGGGTGTTTTTCAAACACAAAAGCAGCAGTAGTGTCATGGACTGGCTGGATGCCGAGGAATGCTGGGAGCCACCAGCTGGAGAACTCCCAAGGAAAGAAGGCTCAGAGCCTGGGGAGTGGTGGTGGGATGATGATGAGTGGTCAGAGGGAGAAGACTGGGAGGAGGAGGTGTCAGAAGGTGATGAGGTAGAAGCCCAGAAGCTGAAGCAGATGCAGGAGAGGAGAGAGACCAAGAGGCAGAGAAGAATCTGGCTGATGAAGAAGCCAGGGTGTCTCCCCCTCCTGCTGTGACAAGCTCCCTTTCCCCCCTGCCTCCCAGTACCAGAAGAGCTATGAAGCAGGAGGGCACACAGGTGAAGTCTCAGATTTACTTGGGAAAGACGCAAGAAAGGAGGAGAGCTAGGGAAGGCAGGGACCGTCAGTCTCCACAACTGCCTCATAGAGGCAAGACCTACTGAAGAGAGTTGCTGGGCTCATTAGGCCTAGCACTCCTGAGCAGAGCCTGTTTCTTCTAATAGTTAATTTCACTTACTCCGTGTGATTTATTGCTGGCTCACTCCTGACAAGTAATGTGAGTGAACACGTGTGTGGATGAGTGTGAGATGCTGATTCTGATCTGTGGTATTGCTGGGTTGGTGTAGGGGTGATCTTCTTCCTCATACTGTTTTCCAGACCTAATGAACCCCTCAGTTGCTATTTGCCCTGTTGCTATAGGGGAAAATATACAAGTAGCAGCTTAGGGGGAGGAGAGGTTCTATATTGTCCCAATAAAGGGTTAAACGTCCCTTCTTCAGCTTCCATTGATTCAAGTCCCCTTGCAGCTACTTCTAACTTAAGAAAAACACAAACACAGAACATCAAGTCACAGATTTCCAAACATCTTCTCCAGTTTGGTCCTCACTTTGAAGAGACCTTGATTCTAAACCTGGCTTTAACCAGTGACTCACTGAAAGGTAGACAAACTGCTTGCACCTCTGATGCCTGCCACATCCTTAACTGAGAAATGAGCACAATAATTAGCAGTTCCTTCTAAATGTTAGGAAGGCAAGCTCTCAGTTGCATACCTCATTTGTGACATCACACAGCAGCCGGACTGTGTGAAACTGAAATCCAAAATGGCAGAATCTTCCTTAAGTCTCTTTCAAAATGGCAGTACTTATGGATGGAGAAAGCAATATGGCAAATAACAAGGAAGATTGTACATGGGGGGGGGCTGGTTACTGTTGCAGCTGTGTGTGTATGCTTTGGGAGGCAACAAAGGATGGGTGGAGGCATTATTCTGAGCTGTTCCCCCCCCCCCTGAATTGGGGAGGACTTAAGAAAAGAGTTTGCTGGCATGAACATAGTGGATGCTGGTTCTTAACCGGCTTGGATTTTGTTTTGAGATGGAGAAGAATTTCTTGGGTTTTTAAGGCTTTAGCTTTTTCAAGCTCCACTAGTTTGTAGCTGAGCCTGGCTCAGTCAATCTTTACCAGCATCTCTGGAAGAAACTCGTGAGTCCTGGATCTCAGTATTTTTTTGCTTTTAACTACTTTTTCAAAAGTACAAGGACATTTGTAGCTTGTGCCATAAGCAGCACAATTCACCTGTCTGAAAAGGTCTGCTTTGTGAAGGGTAGGGAGAAATGACTTTGTGAAGAGAAAATGAATTAACAGCATGGGCTGAAGTGCACAAGGAAGAAAGGATTTATTAAATAGTTCTACAGAGGCGATAAACATTAGGGGGAACCTAATGGAGCAGAACTTCTAAGTGAAAACCAAGGAAAGGGGGAAACCAATTTCAAGGTAATGCTTTTATATTTACATAGTGCTGGAAATGGACAGCACAACTCAATGTTGGTTGGAGGAGAAGTACAGCCCACCTGGACTGCTCTCTGCAGGATTCTGGGGGTCACTGAAAGATAAGAGATAGCCTGATTTTTTCTTTTCTTTTTGTGGAGGCAATGTTGATTAGTGGTTAAAGTATCTGGGCAGCTTTGCTTCTTGTTTCCACAGAGCCACCATATTTTTCGCTCTATAAGATGCACCAGACCACAAGACGCACCTAGTTTTTGGAGGAGGAAAACAAGAAAAAAAAAATTCTGAATCTCAGAAGCCAGAACAGCAAGAGGGATCGCTGCACAGTGAAAGCAGCAATCCCTCTTGCTGTTCTGGCTTCTGGGATAGCTGCGCAGCCTGCATTCATTCCATAAGACGCACACACATTTCCCCTTACTTTTTAGGAGGGAAAAAGTGAGTCTTATAGAGCAAAAAATACGGTAGTTCACACTGCATCTATTGTTTTTGTGATTTGTGCACAGGACAAATTTGTGTCTGGTTATTTGCTCCATAGAAGAAATGCATCTTCCGCCTGAAAACATTGTACTGTTCTTAGGGCAACTGTGTTGGCATTCATTTGTCTCAAGAGACAATGGAGTGCGCCTCCAGTGGTGAAGTCAAGCTGCTGTGTTTAGAGCACTGAAGTGACCTCCCTAGGGTGCAAACCTGGGCAGTGTATATGGAATTTCTGGGCTGCCCAAACAACCAGACCTCCCTCTCAGCCTCGCGGATGTGGTCCAGAGGAAAGCAGAGCAATACATTTGGCACCAGCTTGGCTGCAGGAGTTGCTGGAAGGAAGCTTACAAGACACCATCCAACTGTCTTAGTGACTCCACTAGGGTTTACTCCTTAGTCATTTCTTCTCCTGAAGATGTCCTGCAAAGCAGCAGAGGTTTAGGATCAGAGTTTTCCTTCTCCTAGATGGACTACCTTCCCAGGTTGACAAGCCCCATCTGCCCCTCACTTCCATCTACAGCACATGCAGAAATCACCTTCTTGACTGTTGGACCCACTACTGGGCAACATGACTGTGATACAGAAGTCACACTTGCCATGACTACACTGGTATTTTCTGAAGTAAGCAACTCACCATCCTTAGCCACAGCACTTTGACCCTACCCTTCAGATGTGTTACCGGGGCAGCTGTTTGCAAAGTTAAAATAAAATAATGTAACATAATTTTAAAATGTGCAACCACAAACTTCAGCCAGAAATTCAAAAAGCACTGATTAGTTGCGGCTCCTCGCCACGGCCCATTACATCCTGAGAGGTGTGCATCCGTTATCAGCTCAGTGGAAAATTTCCTAACTGCAAACGAGCCAGTGAAAAATGGTCAGAGAGTAATTCTGAATCAGCAAGTTGCAGGAATTATGCATTGGGTGTGTGTGCCGACTGCTTCCAAAAAGCTTCTGTTTCAATGTTAAAATCAGTCTGTGCTAGCCTATCATAGAAGTTTACATAGGCCAAGGAAAAATGTGAGAATACCTATCTTACCCAGGCATAAGCAAACTCGGCCCTCCAGATGTTTTGGGATTACAACTCCCATCATCCCTGACCAGTGGTCCTGTTTGCTAGGGATGATGGGAGTTGTAGTCCCAAAACATCTGGAGGGCGAGTTTGCCTATGCCTGATCTAACCCATCACTGGTTGCTAGTGTGTGCTCGGGTATTAGCAAATACTGGAATGTATATGGCAGCTGTACCAACTGCAGCCATTCCTGGACAGAGGTAGTATTGCTGTGTGATTCACACTCTCTCTAATCTTCTGGCTAGATTACTGCAATGTGTTGTGCATGGGGTTGCCCACCTGTCAAAACTTGGCCCATGAAGGGTAGAGGAGTTAAGTTCCCACTCTTGTCTTTGCCTGTCTTCTATGTGTGTGCTTTCTCCAAAATTACTGGGTTTAGATGTTGTGTTAATTGTTTTCACTCTTATGTATTTTGTCCTGGAACCTTCTGGTCAAGAGCAGTTAAGAACTATTTTAAACCTATCAGGCACTTAGCTCAGTTGGTAGAGCATGAGACTCTTAACTGCAGGGTTGTGGGATCAAGCCCCAGGTTGGGCAAATGATACCTACCTTGCCAGGGGTTGGACTAGATGGCGCTTGTAGTCCCTTCCAACTCTACAATTCTCTGATTTCTATGAAATCAATAAGAGTTGTAATACTTAGCAGGGCCAAAGCCAGTGGTAACAACAAAAGAACAGTCTTCACCAGCCAGGCATCAAGAGAGTTCCACAGTTTGGGGACAGTTAGTGGTGCTACCAAGGAAGGACTTTAGGGCAGAAGTCCAGAGCAGAATGAGCCACAAGGCCCACCAAATGGAGCAGGGCTGGCTTACTACATTGTGTAGTGAGCAAAGAAATGCACCTGAACATTGAAAGATATATCCCTATGCGCCCCCCTCCCCATTAAAGTCAGAATATCAAATGACCTAACGGGTGGTGCTGTGGGTTAAAGCACAGAGCCTAGGACTTGCTGATCAGAAGGTCAGCAGTTCAAATCCCCGTGACGGGGTGAGCTCCCATTGCTTGGTCCCTAGCAGTTTGAAAGCACGTCAAAGTGCAAGTAGATAAATAGGTACCGCTCCTGCGGGAAGGTAAACGGTGTTTCCGTGTGCTGCTCTGGTTTCGCCAGAAGCAGCTCAGTCATGCTGGCCACATAACCCGGAAGCTGTACGGTGGCTCCCTCGGCCAATAAAGCGAGATGAGTCGGTCACGACTGGACCTAATGATCAGGGGTCCCTTTACCCTTTACCTTTAACTGCACACAGAGTGTGACCAGTTAGGCCATTTCACTCTCATCCCATTCAGAGAAGCCTCTCTTATAGGCTGCTTCAGAAGCCCGCACTTTGCATGCTCCATTGTTGAGCAACATGGGGCAGAAGGTAAGTAGTTCTTCTCTTTACAAAGAATGCCAAGAACACACCAGTGGAACATGTTTTGATTTTCTTTTGGGTTCTGGCCTGCTCCTTCACAAGAAAATAGCCCTTAATTAGACCTTATGGTTTAAAACTGTTGAGTTTTCCTTTTTGGTGTTTTTCTGTAGGTGGATTGTGCAACATGACACTGATGCAATAACTGTGCATTCATGTTGGACCACACACACACCATTCCTTTTTATTAGTCGTTCTGCAATCATTCCCCAATGTTACTCAATATTGCTGTCTTGCGCTGTCACTCATTCTTGCACTGTAGCTCAACAAAAGCAGGACGAAAGCAACCACCGCCCTGGAACATTTGTGGTATAAGAAGTTACAGAACTTCAGCAGGAAGTTACAGCTAGGGACATGTAGCGATTGGAAAGGAAGCACCATGTCCTCCCCTGCAAAGAGGCTTTGCAGATGCAAACAGTGTTGAACGAACACAAATCATCTTGAAAGAACAGTCAAAGGAGTGTCTGGAGAGAGTGACAGAGTGAAAATACTCTTTGCATGCACACCCAGCAATTTACAGTAGGAGACTCCGATATACTGGCCTGCCTTACAGAGCTGTTGTAAAGACGACAGAGAAGAAAGTAATTTAAGTGTTGCACGTACGGCAAAGGCTAGATATAAGGAAATCTGCGCATTATCCTTTATATCGCTTCACCCTGATCTGTTTCTGGCTGGACCTTTCAGCCAGAAGTTGCAAAACCGAGCACGAATCGCGGACAATGGCGGGCTATATAAAAGAGCCCTTATCTCTCTTGTTTCACAGTGCGTGCGTGTGCCCCCTCCAACCAGGGAAATTTCATCCATTCATGCTTCACAAACAAATAATTACAATAAAATTGCCTTGACGGCCTAAAGACGTTATACATGTGCTAAGTGTTGCTATTTTCAGCCACGCTACTTAGGTGGCTGCGACGGGGCTATCCATCACAGGCTTCCCCCTCCCTTCTCTCTCTTTAAAAAATACTGTATTTGCCATCAGCGCTGCGCTGGATCTGCGGTATATTTTATTATAACAACGAGCCTTGCTGAATCGAAACTCCGCTGCCCTTTCTGCTCCACGCCATCTCCTGGGCCTGCAAGAAGGAGATAGGGTCTGCTTCTCCCCCTCCTCTCTCCCCCCCCCCCCGCCCCAGTTAGGTGCTTGTGCGAGAGGTTTTGGCTCACCTATAGATAATATCCCCAGTATCAGAAGCAGCTGTTTAGACAGCTCCTCCAGCCCATTAATTCTACATGGAAGGAAGGAAGGAAAGAAAAAAAGAAAGAAAGAAATTTCTTCACAATTGTCCTCCGCGCTCCTTGCGAGCAGTGATTGCAAACACACCACGAAGCCCATTGATTAATTTTGCATCCCGCCGTGGGACGGATCGCGCCCCCGCCCTGATCTCCATTTCCTCTTTGATCTCGCAGACAAGGCACGTTCGGAACGCAGCAGGGGGCCGTGCGCGCACAGACGCAGACGCTGCTCCGGATTCTCTTCCCCCTTTCATTCATTCATTCATTCGCCCAGACTTTCATTCATAACCCAGCCTAGCCCGGCCCGGCCTCCTGGCTTTCTCTTACGACCCTTTCCAGGTTCTCATTATGTTTCCAGACGCTTAATTTTTTTTATTATGATTTTTAATCCCTGCCTGCTGCAAATGTCCACCTCCTCGCTTCGTGCCTGCTGCAACCCGCCCACCCTCTTTAGTCTGCGTGTTCCCACTCACGTCGTCCACGCTCTCGGTCTCTCCACCTCTTACATCACCGCGGCGAGTGACTGCGCGCCTTAAGCAGCTCTAATGCCGCCTCTCTTCCCCCCTCCCGGACCCCCCCTTCTCTCTCTACCTTAGCTTTGCCACCTGCCTGGAAGCGTCCGTGGGCAAGGCGGGTGGGGAGGGGGAAAGGGAGAGACAGCAGGACTCTTGCCTTACTCAACGTGAAGGACAAGGCCGACCGCCCCCAGCCCCCCCCTCGCCAAGTGCCCATCATCTCCACAGCGACGCCGAGCGATTATTCAGAGCGATCTTGGAAACTGAGCGCGTCGCTTTGCTAGTAAGGCTAAAAGCACGCGCGCGCCCGCGCGCAACCAAAACACCGCAGAAAACAGAGCAGAGCAGAACCCACCGCGCCGAAATCCTTAGGGCTGTTTTACCGGCGGAGCCGCTGGGCCTCCGCACTTTTCGTTACATTGTTTTGCCTCTCCTGTCTTGATTATTGATGAGAACAATTTGCAGTACGTGATGCTTTATTCAGAGGGAACAAACGAGGCTTACGAGGGAGGGAGCGAAGGGGCGCGCGAGCGAGCGAAGCGCCAACAGCCCGCCTCCTCTTTGCCTGGGCTGGGAAAATCCCTGCCGAAGTCTTTGCCAGAGTAGCGGATACAGCTTCCCGTTGGTCCCTCCATGCGCCTGCGGACAACAGCCTGAGCTTATCTAGGGGGTCCTTGCAGACTGGTAGTTTTTTTGTGGGGGGTGTATTCTGAGTTGGTCGTACGCCGAAACCCAGTTCCTGCCACCAGCACGAATTGGAGTGGCTGAATAAGTCAGGCAAGGGCCATAATGGCCTCCTAAGTATGGGTCCTTAAGGTAACAAAGGAAGTGGCTCTGTGCCAGAAGACAAATGGGTGGGGCGCCCTCCCTCAACTGTCTGCTAATTAGAAAGACAAAGACCAGAGTTGAGAGTTGTGTCAGCTAGAAGCTAACTGTAGGCTGGGAAGCCAGAGAGAGAGGGCCGTGCCTGATTTCTCCTTGAATAGGCTGCTGCTATGGGACAAGCAAGACCTTTTTGGGGTGCTAATGCTGTGAACCCCTCCATGGTAGACACAGGGAACTAAACCATATATCATAAAGGCACCACCATCTCTGCTGTGCCTCATTCCAAAAGGAAACACGGCCCCTGAGTACCTGAAACCCCTGGAATTTTGCACCGCTCAGATTGGAGTGGCATGCCACAATAAGAACCTAAGAAGAGCATGCTGGATCAGGCCAGGGGCCCATCTAGTCCAGCATCCTTTTCTCACAGTGGCTGAACATGGGGAACTCCAGCGCATGAGCACTCTCCCCTCCTGTGGCTTCCAGCAACTGGTATAAACATCATGACTCTAGTAGCTATTAATAGCCTTATGTTTGGTGAATTTCCCCAATCCTCTTTTGAAACCATCCAGGATAGTGCTCATCACTGGCTCCCTTGGGAGTGAGTTCCATAGTTCATTTGCTAAGAGTAGAAGTGCTGTACAGTGGTGCCTCGCAAGACGAAATTCATTCGTTCCGTGAGGTTTTTCGTCTAGCGAATTTTTCGTCTTGCGAAGCACGAAATCCCATAGGAATGCATTGAAATTCAATTAATGCGTTCCTATGGTCAAAAAAAGTCCAAACAAAGCCAAATTTGGTACAACAAGAGTTTATTAAGTGCTCTTTAAAGTCACACATACTGTAAAGAGCATTTCAAAAATTGAAGGAACAATAAATTAAGTTTCTAAACATGACAGAAAAACATTTAAAAATCAACAAAGTGTACAGTACATTTTCTAAGACTCTGGGGACAACTCGAAGAAGGTTCCTCTTCCACTCTTTGCTTCTTGCTGAAGAACCTGTCCATGGTCTGCTGCTTCATCTGCCTTTTCAGCACCTCCCTGAAAGGCGACATGACCCTCGTATCAAAAGTGTTCGCAAGGTCATGTGCCACGTGCTTGTCAGGGTGGTGCCGCTGTGCAAAAGCCTGCACATCCTTCCACTTCAGGCAAATGTCCCTCAGTTCTTTGGAGGACAGCCGTTCCTCAGTTGCTTCCTCCTCTTCCAGCGAGGCCTGCTCCTGCGCAGCCTCTGCCTGCAGTTCGACCAGCTCCTGGGTGGTCAGCTCGTGGTCGTGCTCCTCCACCAGCTCGCTGATGTCCTCCTCTGTGACCTCCAGGCCCATGGTCCTCCCCAAGGCAACAATGTCCTGCACCACTGTTGACTCTGGTGCATCAGAGTCACTTGGTGCCACACAGTCCGGCCACAGGCTGCGCCAAGCGCAATTCAAATTTCTCTGGCTGATCCCGTTCCAGGCCGTGGTGATCATCTTCAAGCAGGTGACGATGTCGAAGTGGTCCTTCCAGAATTCCCGCAGGGTGATGGTGGTGCAATCAGTCACCTCGAAGCATCGCCTGAAAAGCTCCTTGGTGTAGAGTTTTTGAAATTGGCGATGACCTGCTGATCCATCGGCTGGAGCAGTGGCGTGGTGTTAGGTGGCAGGAACATGATGCTGATGAAGCTGAACTCCTCCAACAAGTCCTCCTCAAGGCCTTTAGGATGAGCAGGAGCATTGTCCATCAGAAGCAAAGCCTTCAGCGGCAGGTCGTTGTCCAGCAGGTACTGTTTGACAGCAGGGCCAAAAGCAAGATTGACCCAGTCCACAAACAGCACACGTGTGACCCAAGCCTTACTGTTGGATCGCCACATGACACTCAGCTGCTCCTTGTCGACCTTGTGTTTCTTGAAGGCCCGTGGGTTCTCCGAGTGGTACACCAGCAGGGGCTTGATCTTCAGGTCGCCGCTTGCGTTGGCACAGAAGAGCAGGGTCAGACGGTCCTTCATGGGCTTGTGGCCAGGCAACTTGGCCTCCTCCTGTGTGATGAAAGTCCTTTTGGGCATCCTCTTCCAAAACAGCCTGGTCTCGTTGCAGTTGAAGACCTGCTGTGGAACGTAGCCCTCCGTCTTCACAACCTCCAGGAACTCCGCTGCAAAGTCTTCAGCCGCAGAAACATCAGAACTGGCAGCCTCTCCATGCCTGACCACGCTGTGGATTCCGGATCTTGTCTTGAACCGGTCAAACCAGCCTCTGCTTGCCTTGAAGACTTCTGGCTCGCCTGAGGTCCCTGGCTATTCCCGGACGAGGTCTGCGTGCAAGGCCTTGGCCTTCTCACAAATGACGGCCTCAGTCACTGTGTCCCCTGCACGCTTCTTCTCTTCTAACCAGATGAACAGCAACTTCTCCACCTCCTCCAGAACAGCTGGGCGGTTCTTGCAAACCCCTCCTCAACTCTTCCCCCAGCCACCCACCACACAGAAATTCAAACCCAGATTTTTTTTTTTAAAAAAACAGCAGAGTGGCCCAATGGTCACAGAAAATCATAAAAATGCAGAAAAAAACCACAAGCTTCCAGATTCTTGCAAACCCCTCCCCAACACCAAGTCCTTGAATTCCAAACACCCCAACCCAAAATCCAACCCCCCCAAAAAAGTTTTAAAAGTTTAACTTACCAAATGGCTGCAAAAGAAGTTTTGGAAAAGCTTCAAAAATCACCAAAGTCTTCAAAAACCTCAAAAAAGGCTACCACACCGCGTGCTATGAGTTGCTCCTCGAAGTCAAGTTGCAACTGCACCTCTTCAAGCAATGCACCTTGGGTTTTAACAGTTTTACGAAAAAGGAAACAAACTTGCAAGACGTTTTCGTCTTGCGAAGCAAGCCCATAGGGAAATTCGTCTTGCGAAGCACCTCAAAAAATGAAAAACCCTTTCGTCTAGCGAGTTTTTCGTCTTGCAAGGCATTCGTCTTGCGGGGCACCACTGTACTTTCTTTTCCCCGAATTTTCCAAGATTCAGCTTCACTGGGTGTCCCTGGGTTCTAGTGCTATGAGATAAGGAGAAAAACTTTCCTATTTTCCCCATACCGTGCATAATTTTATCATAGCTCTTCTTGCTCAACTTTTCTCTATACCAAATAACCCCCAAGCACAGCAACCTTTCCTTGTAGCACTGATGCAATAATAGTGCACAAGTGTTGGGTTTATATTGGACTATCCACACACCAAGGGACGCGGGTGGCACTGTGGGTTAAACCACAGAGCCTAGGGCTTGCCAATCAGAAGGTCGGCGGTTCAAATCCCCATGACGGGGTGAGCTCCCGTTGCTCGGTCCCTGCTCCTGCCAACCTAGCAGTTCAAAAGCACGTCAAAGTGCAAGTAGATAAATAGGTACCGCTCCGGTGGGAAGGTAAACGGTGTTTCCGTGCGCTGCTCTGGTTAGCCAGAAGCGGCTTAGTCACGCTGGCCACATGACCCAGAAGCTGTATGCCGGCTCCTGCGGCCAATAAAGTGAGATGAGCGCCACAACTCCAGAGTCGGTCACGACTGGACCTAGTGGTCAGGGGTCCCAAACTTTACCATCAACCCAGACACATTACTATCCACACCCCATCTGCTTTGTTGTTCTGAGATGCTTCCCCAGCATTACTGCATTATTGTCATCTATAGGGGCACTCTTGTGCTATAGCACACCAAAAGCAGAATGAAATGAACACACCTGGAACATTGCATGTGGTTTGCAGCCAAATCACAAGTGCATGTTTTGCTAGACAAGCACAGGGCTAGTACACAAAGAGTTCTTAAACTTCCTAGAGAGGGCTCTCTGTGTGGCCACCAGTGTGGTGCAGTGGTTCATAGAATCATAGAATCATAGAATCATAGAGTTGGAAGAGACCACAAGGGCCATCGAGTCCAACCCCCTGCCAAGCAGGAAACACCATCAGAGCACTCCTGACATATGGTTGTCAAGCCTCTGCTTAAAGACCTCCAAAGAAGGAGACTCCACCACACTCCTTGGCAGCAAATTCCACTGTCGAACAGGTTAAGAGAGGTAGACTCATAATCTGGTGAACTGGGTTCGCGTCTTGGGCCAGTCACACTTCTCTGAAGTCTCTCAGCCCCACTCACCTCACAGAGTGTTTGTTGTGGGGGAGGAAGGGAAAGGAGAATGTTAGCCGCTTTGAGACTCCTTAGGGTAGTGATAAAGCGGGATATCAAATCCAAACACTTCTTCTTCTTTGCCTCCTCTAGGCAGGAATTCTGAAACTAAGGAGATAATCCCTTATGCGCTGGGTAAAAGATTCCTGCATTGCAGGGGGTTGGACTAGATGACCCTCATGGTCCTTTCCAGCTCTACAATTCTATGAAATGTTCTATCTTATCCAGACAGCTTGATCAGGTCCTTGGAGCACTGAAGCAGAGTATTCACAACTGTTTATATTTTCAGGGCAGGCCAGGGAAGTGGCATTTGTAATGTCAGTTAAGTCTCTGCATGCCTCAGTTTCCCCATTTGCCAAATACAGATTCTCATAAAGTGTCCAGGAGGGATATTGTGAGAATTAGCTTTAATGTTGTATGCCCACTAGGGGAAAAGGCATTAGGAAAGAGAAGCTGCTGTTCTTCTTATTGGTTTCTTCTTGTTGCAGAATAAAAATCACGGCCAGAGGCTTAGAGGTTCATGATGGGTCACTGCAAGATCGTTAGGAAGAATAGCATTTAGGTGTTTTTTTCCATTAAAGATAACTGGAATCTATGAAAAGGTGGGGAAGTTTCCAGCCCTACTATTAGAGAGAGTGAGGTGGTCACCTCGGGCTGTTTTGAGAAGGCAATGAATTATTAGTTATTTAATTTAAATTGATAATTATGGCTGAGAGCCAGAGTTGTGAATCAGGAAGTCCTGAGGGAAGTCATTTCTGCCCCCCTCCTTGCACTGCAACATGGGGGAAATTATACTGGTCTACTTTGCAGGGTTGTTGTCAGGGTTACTAACACAACACATTTGAAGTGCTTTGGAAAATCCCTGAAACACTATGAAAATTTAGTACCTTTATTTTGTTCAGGATGGTACATCGCAAGTAAAGTGTGAAAAGCCTCAATAGCACCTGACGTTTGGGCAACAGAAGAGTAGACCAGAATCAAGACACCCAAGGAAGAAGGTTGGAGCTAAATAGTAAGAGATACTTTGTAATAGTGCAAGGTCTTCAACCGTGGATCACAGGCTGCCTTGGGAGGTGTTGGGCAGGGACTGGATGGTCCTCTGTTTGGGATGCTGTAGCTGCATCCTGCATTTAGCAGGGAATTGGCCTAGGCCACCTCCAAGGTCCCTTCCAACTCCACAGTTCTTTGAAATGCTAAGTAATTATCGTGGAACCACCCCTCTCCGCTCAGTTTCTGAATGAATGAATGAATGAATGCCAGTTGCTGGAAGTCTTGTGCTCGGGTCCTATTTGTGGGTTTGCCACAGTCAGCTGGTTGGCTACTGTGCAAACAGGATGCTCGAGGAGATGGTCCCCTGGCTTGATCCAACAGGACTCTTCTTAAGTTCTTTTGAAAAGAAAAGGGCATCCAGCTCAGTATTAACTAAGGTCCGCGGGCCAGATAAGGCCTGAGGGACTCGTTTATCCAGCCCACGGCGACCTCCGTTGCCTGCTGCCGTGGCCCACTCTTAGCGGCGCTGCGCTGCGCGGCTGCCCACTTCTGGGTTGGAGGAGCCCCGGAAATAGCTTGTGCACATGCACGAGCATTATTTGTGCATGCGCAAGCATTATTTCCGGTGCACATCCGGGTTGGAGGAGGCCTGTGCACATGTGCACAAGCTATTTCCGTTGCTCCTGCGACCCGGAAGTGCGCCGGAAATAGCGTGTGTGCACATGTATGGGCACGCGCCCTCCAGCCCACTGCACAATCAGCACTGGAGACACTGGCCCGAGGTGCTGTAAGTTTGGTGACCCCGGTCTACTCTGACTGGCAGTCACTCTCTAGGCTTTCCCAGGCCTACCTGGAAGTGCCAAGAGGTGGAACCTGGTTCCTTTTTACATGCAGAGCAGCTGGTCGATCACTGAGCTATGACCCTTCTCCATGTCTTCAGCCTCACATTTAGATGGTCTGCTTGTTCACAGAATCATAGAATTGTAGAGTTGAAAGAGACCCTGAGGATCATCTAGTCCAATCCCCGCAATGCAGGAATATGTAGCTGTCCCATACGGAGATCGAACCTGCGACCTTGGTGTTACCCAGCACCATGTTCTAACCAACTGAGCTATCTGGTAACTTAACTGGTTAGCACACCATCGGTGTGTCTGTAGCAGCTATAGATTCCTGGCTTGCAAATGCTGCCTGTATTTGTGTTAATCTGTTTTTAAAATTGTGACGGCTGCATCATATCAAAACCAGGTCTTGCATAACACCTTCGCTGCAACATCTCTCCAAACAGTTGCTCACCCCCTCTCCCATTTATTCACAATTTTTATTTTGCTCCTTTGGGAGCAAGAACAGTATTTTAAAGCAAAACAAACAAACCTTCCCAGTAAACAGTCATACACATAGATATTGTCCTGATCTTTCACTTGCTGCAAAACACCAGGTAGCCCAAGAGTTAATTTCCACATCTTTTTTGCTCATGGAGAACGGGGTTGCTCTTTTGACAAGTTTTCTAATGGAAATAAATGACTTTCCTTTTTTAAAACCAAAACATCTGATCACATGAGGCTCTCATCATGTGGAGTTTTGAACTTTGCAGACTCAAAGTCATCCTTCATGCGTTTGATAGAAAAGTATCCTTGAAGTCTGCAGAGAATCCCATGGTGCTCTAAGCGTACAGCCTTGGAAAGGGGTTAGCTTTGGCAGTGTATGTCTTTATGACACAGCCCAGGGTGAACACAAGACCAAGTCCTGCTAGATCAGAACAACAGTCCATCTAGTTCAGAATCCTGTTTTCCATAGTGGCCAACCCAGGACCTGTGGGAAGCTTGGAAGAATGATATGAGTGCAAAAGTGTTCTGCCCATTTGTGACTTCCAGCGACTGGTATTCTGTGAACAGGAAGGCCATAGCTCAGTGGTGCAGAATGGTACAGGTGCAATCTCAGGTAGAGCTGGGAGACATCACTGTCTGAAAGCCTGGAGAGCTCTTGCCAGCCAATTGAATTAGATGCACCATAGAATCAGAATTGTAGAGTCGGAAGGGACCCCATTAGGGCCATCTAGTCCAACCCCTGCAATGCAGGAATTTTGGCTAAAGCATCCCTGGCAGATGGCCATCCAAGCTCTGCTTAAAAACCTCCAGTGGAGGAGAGTTTACCACCTCCCAAGGGAACCTGTTCCACTGTTAGGCAGCTCTTACCAATCTGAGAACTCATTGTAAATCAGCCACCTGTATTCCTAACCCAGAAATAGACTTTTGAGAGGGAGGGACTTAGGATTGGCATGCTGCGACCATGGGAGCAAGAGCAGGCTTGGGTCATGTTTTCATGCAGCTAAGAGCTCACCCTGCAATTGGCCAGGTCAGAGACTTTTAGGGAATCCTTTTTTAGACCAACACATCCCTCCCTCTTTGTGTCCCTTGTCACGACCACCATTTTGTTCCCCATGCAAATTCATGATGGCACTACAGGTCCTCTAACGGGGGCTGCACAATGACATTCATATCGATCTCTGTACCAGAGAGGACAACAGGTCTGTGGCAAGTGAGGAAGAGGAGGAGAGGGAATAGAGAACGACGGCCCAAAGATCGTTAGTGATTAATCAAATACCATTAGTACGCGCTAACCAGCCATTAAATAAACTCCCCCAAGAAATGGGAAATCCATCGCTTTCAAGCCAATCTTGCCTTAGCAGATCAAGCGAATACCTGCCTCCTGTCCTGGCTTGCAGTGAATCAATGCTCTTAACAATGACTAAAGTGCGCTCAGAGGAGCACTAGATAACCTCATCTAATTTAAAAATAAAACATGCGTACAAGTGAACCGCTGAAATCCAATAAATTCACAAATTACCTCCCAGCCATAACACTATAAAACACCTTAATGTAATTCCGGACTCCGTTGCCTCTTCCTTTCTTCCAAAAAAAGAGGAACAAATCCAATATGAAACTTGGAGGGGAAGGTTGGGAGGTACGTGTAATAAAAACCAGCCCCGGCTGCCTCATGGAGGGGTCAGTAGCATTCGGGAGCCTAATAGCATTTTTATACAGTAGCCGCCGTTGCTTGCAGATGTGGGTGGCGAGGTGTACGCAGATCTCTCAGCTGAAGAGGCAGGAGCCGGGAACTCCGTTTCACTCGTTTTAAGCAGCCCAGGTGTATTGTAATGCCTGATTAATTCACTCTCTCAACGACAGAACCCATAAAGAGCCTGTTAGGACTTCAGTTCATTCTGGAAGTCAGTTCTGCAAGACTGCAAACACAGCCCATTTATCCGCTCCAAATTTTAAACTCACACCTTCAGAGATCTCCTCCAGCTCTGGCACTCGGAAACTTTCCTAGGCTTTCTGGGTTCTGGTTTGCACCATCGCCTCATGTGCTTTTCTGATTTATGTGCAAAGGCCCTTGTGCAACTAGGTTTCTCATTCCAAACCAGGAGAGGCAGTTTTACGCCACAATGCCCTGGCAAACACACTCAAGCAAAAAAAACAAAAACCTACTGGAGTCAAAACTGTGTGGGCACCTAACATCACAGGGTACTATTTGCTGGGGATGGGGTGTAGCCAGAATTTATGTTGGGGAGGGGGGGTGTCAGGACACCCACCTGTCATCATCTTCCATCTGGCTCTGTCTAGTAGATTTGGAATGAAATGTCTCAACAACAGTTGTTTCAGATTACTTTCTTTTGATCCCAAGTGCTCAGAAAAAACGGTCAAAATCTGTCATTTGAAAACTAGGAAGTGATATTTTTCATTTTAGCCTTTCATGTGGTTAACATTTTGCAAAATTACAAAGAGCACTCCTTTTTTCATCTTATTCTTTTTAAAAAAAATCTAAACTTGGATTTGCTGAAAACAAATAAAAAACAAAACAAAACCTTTTCAGCACTTCCTTCTCAAATTCCTCCTTTTTCCAATTCAGTTTTTCTGTGCACACTCAGTAAGCAGAGGCCACTGAGACAGTCCCCTGTCATCACTAGCCTGAGCCAGGTTTTTACTCTCTGCTCTATGGTCAAGTGGTGCACAACTGAGGGTAGGGTAAGAAGATCTGCTACGTTCAGCTCTTTTAACTGTTCTTTGCTGAGTTTCTTCTCCTTCCACGTGGTGTACCATAGTTCGGCTTCAGGTTCGAAGTCTTGCGACTTACAAAAACTTGAGAACTGCTTGGCTTTCATCTTGAAGTCTTGAATCTCCAACATGATAAGGGCCCAAAGCTCAGTCGGGTTGCCAGTTGCATTGCTAGAACACACCACAACATCACCCAAGGGATCTAAGTGAGCAGTTCAATTTCAAATATTCTGATTATTTCTACTTTTAGTGAAATATTTTTATTTATTTGCTTGATTTAAGGGGGGCAGCTGCCATTTGGCTATGCCCACAGATAGAAATGGGCATATCTGTCAAATTTGGTTTCTCTCATTTTCTCCTTTTTCCAACCTTAAGTTCAGTTCTCCACATCTGCACATTAACCAGCATTTTAGTGTGAATTCCTCTTAATATACACACACGTTTGTATGCAATATTGCCTAATACATACATTTTTGTAAAACAGTGTTCCCCAGTCATTCATCTACAGTACGTTTTTCCTGGTGGTGCATTGGCCTCTGCTAAAAATATCCCAGCATCCTGATATATGAGTGTCAGAGAAAAATGAATTGCGAAATGCGGGGGAAATGTTTGAAGATTAATTCAAGGAGCAATCTTGTAGGTTCTCAGCATGCAGAAAACTTCAGCTTCATGAGCCTGGTGATATACAGCAGATTTATGCACCCGCTGGATGGTTCAACACCTCTCAGCTCATGAAGATGAGCTGTTCCTCACCTTTCCTAACCACACCTTGCTTTTAGAAGGCTCAAAGTCTCATAGGATGAGGGCATCGCAAGTCCACATGAAACAGCAAAAGCCTAAATTGCTGTATGATGGTCTCTATTATATAATTTCAATCACATACATTTCACTAAGCTTTGAAAAACAAAACCCAAGTGCCAAATATCCAAGCACTTTCAAACTAGTACATTTGTACTAGTTTGTCAGAATATTGGGTCCTGGGGACCAGTTTACAGGCGGAAAGCTGGGCTGGGGTGGCACAGGACAGAAACAACATTCTGGTGCTGCAAAAGATACAGCACTGAGATCTCAGGTCATCTTTGTTATTGTTGTTGTTGTTGTTTAGTCATTTAGTCGTGTCCGACTCTTCGTGACCCCATGGACCAGAGCACGCCAGGCACTCCTGTCTTCCACTGCCTCCCAAAGTTTGGTCAAACTCATGCTGGTAGCTTCGAGAACAGTGTCCAACCATCTCATCCTCTGTCGTCCCCTTCTCCTTGTGCCCTCCATCTTTCCCAGCATCAGGGTCTTTTCCAGGGAGTTTTCTCTTCTCATGAGGTGGCCAAAGTATTGGAGCCTCAGCTTCAGGATCTGTCCTTCCAGTGAGCCAGGTCATCTTACCGGAAGTAAATGTGAATGTTAGGTCCCTTTGACAGCCTGGCTCCGTTGAATGGCTGAGCGACGAATTAGCCTTTGGTGAATCTCCTTTAGTGTTCTGCTCATGGGAAGTGTGACACAGTTACATGGAGAAGTGACTGAAGAGGGCCTGTTTGCTAGGAAGTAATTAAGCTACACTAAGAGTATTGAGTGTAAATCCTGCAAGTGCGTTCAAGGCCCCTAACGAACAATGTGAAAAAACAAACAAACAATAAAGCTCGTCTGTTTTGTTATAATGCTACTTAGCACACCTTTTGTACTGATAATGTCCTTCAGAGTTAGTACGCTCTTTGCAGACACTGCTTGCAGGTTGCTAAGATCCCCCCCCCCATCTCAGAGAAATTAAAATTCTACTTGAAACATTCCATGTCAATAAACGAATGAAAGAAAAGCCCTTCTTTAATTCTAAATGCTTTGCTTGTTTAAATGCAAAGAACTCCTGGTTCCCATTGATATTATTCATGGCTGGGATCCAAATATATGTGAACCTAGTTTGGTTGAGCCCATTGGGAGCTTTAGATTATTTTTCTTAAGTGGCAGGCCCACCCCCTCCCCGCCACTCCTGCATAGGAAGCCGCTCATGAGATTGAAGGAAAATTCAGAAGCACTTTGTGAAATGACAGCATGGAGGTGGGGGTCTGCCAGTGAAAGA